CTGTTCCTTAATTAAAGAGAGCGTCTCTCGTAAGCTTGTCGGTACATTACAGCACGCTATTGCTACATTGTGTAACATGTAACTCACAAATTTGGATAGGATGGCGAGGTGGCCATAGGATGGCGGGTGGCCATAGGATGGCGAGGTGGCCATAGGATGGCGAGGTGGCCATAGGATGGCGAGGTGGCCATAGGATGGTTCAGCACCAGAATCAAAACAAAATGAGAACTGCTCACCAAATTGTGTAATTATCCCGGTGACAGGCTTCATACCACACACGTTCACTCGCTTCACGATGCTGGGTGTGACGGTGGGTTGTGCACTATTATTTGCAACTGACCATGTTTTTGAGCACCGCGATGCCACATGACCTTCAACACCACACTTGTAGCAAGTCATAGGGGCACGCTTACCCTCAGCTGTGTCAGGGTGTTCAAAGATCAGAGTTGTTTGCTGTTTTTCATGCGATCGACTGAAACATTCATTAGATTTATGGCCAAGCTTTCCACAAGCGTAACATTTTGTGGAACCAGAACTTAGTTTAGGAAGTTTGTTATCGTGCGTATTGCTTGCAACGGCTTTTGTCATCTCTTGGTAGCTCCGTTTGCGATAAGAAAAAGCCATTAGTTCGCGTTGCATTTTACAGCGGGTTGTTATTTCTTCCGCAAAAATATTACGTTGTAACCGTGGCTCAATTTGTCCCATGTGTGCAAGTATTAAAGACACCACCACTTCTTCCTTTTCTAAATTACTCCATCGTGACATGAGTAAGGTAAATAAACGGCTTGCATATGCAGCAAGACATTCACTTTCTTGTGGTTTACCAGTAAGCATCTTCAATAACGTCGCTGCACATGTTTCTAACGTAACAAATCGAGAAACAAAAATTTCCTTAAATTCTACCCATTTCATATTAGGAAAAACTATTTGTGAAAACCATGTTGCAGCCGACCCTTTCATAGCCTTACTAAGAATGAGAATTAATTTACTTCCCTGTATCTCACGATCCGATAAGCAAATGTCCGCCGTGGCCAGCCAGGCCCGGGCGTCAGTGTTTGCATCATCCGGTTGAAACTTAGGCAGCGTGATGTTTTCATCCTCAAGATTCGGTGGTTTAGTCAAAGCCTCCACGAGTAGCTTCATGCTGGTTTGTTGTGCTTCAAATAACGCACGCCACCCATCATTTGCCGTTATCTGTCCGTTCACGTTTTGTGCCTGCACCGATCCCACTTCTGATGTCGGGGAAAGGCTCTCCTCGTTGACATCGCCATTAGTGGCTGCGGGCTTAGTGGGCGTCATGGGGTTAAAGTGCGAGCACAAAACACAATGGATGCCGTTTTATCAGTAGTTTAATTCAGTTTATACAATATTTTGTTATTCCACGGTAATATTGTAGGAATACAACAGTTTAGACCGAGCAGCGAGTTCGGTGCACCAATCTCACTTTAACTATATCCAAATTATCCAACGATCCAACTCGA